TGGAATCGTGTCACTGAGCTCTTTGCATTGGTATTGTTTTTAAAGCAATTTGAAAGCTTTGAAATTTTTATCCAAGTGCCTAACTTAAGTGTACGGCTAGACTGCCAGTCTAGCCGTACTTAGATCTAGGTTTGGCCCAATCGACTCAAGCCTGTTAAGTACACAGGTCTCATTAGATCTAGATCTTGTAATTATTCAGGTTCAAATACATGCAAGTCAGTAAGGCACCTTTTGGTTTTGACTGAAATACAAATACTTTAGGCATTGCAAACTAAAAAATTCATTTACAATTCAGCCATCAATATTAAGTACGGCTAGCCTGACAGTCTAGCCGTCCTTAAGTACGGCTAGCCTGGCTGTCTACCCGTACTTAAGTACGGCTAGACTGCCAGTCTAGCCGTACTTATCTTAGGCCCTATTAACATTAGAAAACAGGAGGTTTAAAATACATGCACTGTCATTAAGGCACATGGTTTTGTCTCAAATACAAATACTTTAGGTACTGCACACTAAAAATGTATATTTACAATTCAGTAGGCCTATTTTTTGTAAATGGTCAGTCTAGCCATCATATTAAGAATAAGTACGGCTAGACTGTGAGTCTAACCGTACTAGCCTCTTCCATTTCACTTTTCGAATCGAGCCGAACTACTCGGGTCGCCATTTTGTTTTGCCCGGAAGCCGAACTACTCGGGTCGCCATTTTGTTTTGCCCGGAAGTTCTCGCAAGATCTACTCCTCCCCTCTCTCTCTCTCTCTCTCTGTCTCTTTCTGAATACTGTCTATCGGTGTGGACGATCAAATTGACCAAAACAAAGTTAAAAAATGATGTTAAACAAGAAAACTAAATTGATTTGGTTGTCTACAAAGATGCTACGGCTATTTAACTTTCGGAATCGAGCCGATTCTAGGCTAGGTGCACGGTTACCGTGTACGTGACACTCCGTTATGAAGATGATGAAGCTACAAATGTACAACAATGAACATTTCCACCGTCTAGAAATCTAGTCTAGAGTCAATTGAGGTCAAACCAGCCGGTAAGCTCTTACCCTACGCTATTTGATCCCTCTGCATCTAAGATAACTTGATTGTGGGCCCAAAATAGGACTGATAGTGATTGGTGATGTAGCAAAAAAAACGTCAAAGGTGGCCGGATTGCGGTGTACCAGCAATATTTCTTCCTTTTAAATATTATCCTGATGATACACACATAGTTAGGCCAGCTCTATTTCTCGGAACTTTCGAGAAAATAAACTTGGAACTCTATTTCTCCGAACGGTTTCCGTTCTCCAGATTTGTTGATAATAATTGCTAATGGAGTGGCACGTGTGTGTGTGTTAGTGTGCATATATGTGTGTGTGTGTAGGCCCAAGGTGTGAATGGGCCGTTGGGAGGGGGGGAGGGGTGTGTGGAGGGATTTTTTTTTTTTGGTTCACCCTGTGCGAATAACTATGAAATTTTATTCACACAGGGTGTGTGAATACTGTGTGAATACTATGAAATGTTGTTCGCACTTTGCACAGGGTGTGTGAATACTATAAAATTATGTTCGCACAGGGTGTGTGAATACTTCAAAATATTATTGGCAGAGGGCGTTTCAAATGAAGGATGGCAATTAATTGGCCCTTGGTCATAGTATTTCCTAATTATTTTATCTCCCTCATCGCGTAGGGACAAAGATCATAACGAGAGTTCTCTCCTCTCTTTGATCCAATTAAAAAAGTGTCCTCAAAATTTGGTGGCGCCCTCTTCGAAAAAGTGCGGACTTTGCGAACAGAGTTGTAAACCCTACTTGTGTGAAAAACTATAAAAGTGAAATTAATCTTAAGCAACGCACCGACGACTTCTGCGAACACTTTTCGGTCTTTATTTAGTGAAAATAAATCTTTTTATTAAATGTGCTATCTTTGGTAGGGAGAGATCTAATTCTAATTGTGCAGTGCAATACGAACCCCCTCCCCCACTCAAATTGGAATTCAAGATGTGTATTGTGTCAATGATAATGACTCAAATCCCTCTTTTTTTATTTCTTTTGTTTTGTTTTCCTTGCGCCTTGAGAGAAAGAGAAAGAGAGAGAGATGAGTGCATGCTTTAACACTAAAACCAGAGATTATCTCAAGTCCCATCTTTTGTCAAAATAGTATCAGTATTGCAGAACTGGAATATTTGAAAATCAAGTCCGATGTGGTCAGTAAGTTCATTTTTGCCGGTCGCAATCGTGATATTATTATATATTCGTTCAGCTTTTCCCCGTCCGGAGAGTACGTTTCACTTTCACGCTACTAGGCAGCTATGGCGGCAGGTGGAAGGTATGTTACACCCGCTTTCGGTACCGCCGAGAAGTTTGCCAGCAGTTGTCTGATAACGCAACACTTGTGACATGCGGGTTGTGCAGTATAAACGCAATGTCGCTGTGCAAATAAAATTTAATCAATGCTCGGAATCGTCTCTGTGCTGTCACTTGTGGAAAAAAAAAGAAGAAAAAATGCTATGGTCGTCCGATTTATTGATTGTCTAGCTGGCCATCGTGACTGGTCACTGAACCTGTGCGCATTTGCATCATAAATAAATGCGGCATCGTGTGAGTAAAGACCGTCTTTGGTGGGAGTAACGGCGTTGCAAAGTATAGGACTACGGAATAGGGGAGGAGATTATTGATTTTTTGGGGGTTTAAGATACTATCGGGGGTTTTAAGGCTACACCAGAGGACAAAGACTTGGAAGGACATTTCAGAATTTTAATTAGAGCTTTCTGCAAAGCCCACGTTGGTGCAGGCTGTGTGCTGAATCTGGACCCTTCATACTTTGCAAGTCTGTGTTATTGAAATAAAGTGTTCGCCTTTCATTGGACGGGTGATAGTAAATTATACCTACAGTGTATGTTGTAGCTTTCTGTTCAAGACCGGCAGATTTTCAGTGTCACTGCATCTTGCCCTCCAACAGTTGTTACAACTCTCACAGTGCACGGGTCTACTGGAGCCATTCAAATTACTTTTCTCTGAGTTTGAGCAATAATTTGAGTCTGTCAGTTCATATTATGAATCATGGACACCCAGGCTGGTTCTTGATAGTCGCGATTCTTGTTCAAGGCCCTTCCGAACTCTCAAAGCAGGATTTATTTTTTATATAATAGTGAGAGGAAAATATTACCGGTTTATAGTAGACTGAAGTCGAACAAGACCCCAGTACGACTTTGAATACTGACATGTTGTTGACTGGATACATGTATATATATATATTGTATGCGTGTGAGCTCCTTTCGAGCTGGTGAGCTAGTAATTTTTTTTCAGGAAATATTGCTGGACACCCTGAACATTTTACTATTACTAGTTAGTTGGTTGTGGGAATACACATTTTCCCCTGAAAATACACATTTTTATCTCTTTCATATTTCCCAATACTCATTTTGGTTTTCTGGGGTTGGCATCTCTGCTAAAACTGAAACAAGTATGATATTGTACTAGATCTAGATCTAGTGTACAGTTGTTCTAACATTTAAAGCCTTTGCCAAAAGGTGGGATACCCGAGTGGGACAAACGAGGTCCAAATTCAACTTAGGCTCAACCCTGTGCGAATAGAATTATTTCTTATTCGTACACACGGTGTGAATAATATTAATTTTATTCGCACACCCGGTGTGAATAATCACTTCCTTTTTTTTTTTACAAGAAGGATTTTATTTTTTGCTGGATGACTAAACATGTGAAATAGGTTACTGCCAAGGTCGATCAGTCTTGTTTTTTCCCAGTACCCTTTTGAAGGTATTTTCAAATGAAGTAGCCTATAGTCCAGGAACGTTGCCCCACCCACAACTGAAGTATCTGAATATTCAGACATTTAAAAATCTCTAGCTCTAGAAATTGAACTATATGCAAAAAATGCCTCTTCCCAGTCCTCACAGAATGGCAGAATGAAAGATGACGCCAAAATCTCGCGAATTATTATAACCAAAAAATCTCGAGAACGGAAACTGTTGTTAGGAGAAATAGAGCTCAAGTTTATTTTCCCGAACGTTCGGAGAAATACAGTCCATGCTGGCTGTTAAGCACGGTCATCGAGAGAAAGTTTAAGCGGGCTTAATGCCGAAGTGTGCTTGAGTGCAAAGTAAATATATCCAGAGATTTTCATGTAGAAAATTTCCCGTGCTGTTTCCTTTTGTTTGTAAGTAGGCCTATAGCTGTCCCGCAAAAGTGTACACTGTTATTTTTACCCACCATGGCAGTTTTTGTTTGTTTTTGTTTTGTGGTCGAATGGGAAATGGAAACTTAATTTAGACGGCCAGTCACGATACAGCACTCTAGGCCTACACACTGCCTGTGCGTACCACTGCCCGCATTGCCTCATTCATACCACCGCCTTCGTCCCACCTCGCATGTGATACACATTCAGGATTAATGAATAGTGATGGTCAAAGGTGAATTCGCAGCCAGCCTCCCTTTCTCGTCTCCCCGACTCTATGTATTTTTTTCGTCTGTGTGTAGCTTTGCTCTAGGCTAGATCCTATGTCCACGCACACGGCTGTGTGTATCTCTCTGCCTTCCTCTCCGCCCGTGTGTGTGTCTCCGTCACTTTCGTTCTTTGTGTTTCTCTTAATACACTCACTGCTGCGGTGTAGACTGTGTTCGAACTTCGATGGGTCATTATGAAAGTATTGATTGTTTTGTAAATGAAGCGTGCCTGAAGCCGAAGTTACAGTGCTTAAAGGCATGTAATTTATATTGCAAAAATTCGGTAAGAGCCGTTTAGCTGGCGTGCTTAAAGCCGGCACGGACTGTAGCCGTTTCGTAAACTGTATGTGGTCACATTGTGCTCAAACCGGCCACTCTTGAAACCTTTGAGCTCAAATCGGCCACCCATTTACTCAATTAGCCACCCTCCTTGGTGAAGGAAAATACTACTTTCCTTTGTTCAATGCCATCTAAGAGATCACCAGTTCATTTTGGGGTTTATTTAGTTATTCAACTGTCAGTACCAGGTGGGTCTATCATAGTAGGGAACCCGTCTGCCCGGGCTTTGTCAATTCCTGGGTTTTAAAGCTCAAACATGCACAAAACGCAGTCGCACACACACACACGCACATAGATCTACATATACATACACACCATACCATACCACCTTACATACTACAAACATACACGGACACACACACGAACACTAGATTTATACTAGATCTAGATCTAGGCCTTTGTCTATTATACTCACTCACTACATACAGTCACACATGTATGCTACTAGATCTCGCATACTTCCGACTGCCAAGCCTGAAACATGTCGAGGAATGTTTGAAAAATAGCAATAAAAATGCACCCAATGGGTTTCAGGTTTGGCAGGTAGCAGCCTACGTGGTTCACCCATCAGTGTTCGGGCATGGCAGTTAGTGAGTTAATAACCACAATTGTTCTATTTGTAGGGGCCATCTTAACATAGGTGGGTTACGTTAAATTGTTTTTATCTCTCTCCCTCTTGAGTGTGGAACCTGATCTAGATTGTTTGCCCTTTCTTTCTCAGAGCAGAGTACAGTGCGTTCTGGAAATGTGTCCAGGCTGGTGGGGCCTACCTGTTCACACAGCTTTGCAAGATGTTATTGCTGGCTACGTTCTTTCCCGCTACAGAAGCGGCAACAGGCAGTCTTGATATCACAGGGGTAAGTTGGTCTATTCATGTTTGAAGGATGCTTTGTCAAGGTTTTTCCTGAATTTAAATTTTGAAAAAATCGCATTTGAGTTTGAGTGAGAATGGAATCTTTCTCTTCCAAAAGTACAAATTTGCTGCAGAGGGTGTCTGCTTTGTCTCTAGCATCATGTGGTTAGTTATATAACTCTGGTCTGGTCGGCTCCTTTTGTGTCATTTCTTTAATGTCGTTGTCGTGGATCTTCTGATGGAAATAGCTGGTGGTGGGAGGTGGCAACGGTAGGTCCTACTTCTTTTTTCACTCCCCTTATTGCTTCTGTCAGTCTGTAGTCTGTCTTACTCTTTCTCTACGTAAAGTGACCATTATAATTATTGTGCCTGTGTGTTTCTCTTTATTCAAACAAACTGTTGAAATTTTACTCTAAACTGTCATGTCCTCTTGTCATTTGCAGGAATTCTTGAAGTCAACAGTTGACATTGCAGATCTGATAGGACTCCACATTGTCATGTCCAAGTTTGCTGGCAAAGGTCAGCTCAAGTTCATGATTGCTGGAATGGGTTGGGCCACAGCAGAGCTGATTGTCACAAGGTAGAGTGGATTATTATTTTTGTGAGATCTCTTTTGGAGATTAGTGTTGGTGGGTGGTTGGCAGGTGTTCTGGTGTGGTTTGCTCTCTTCTTTTCTCAGAAACGTCTGTCACCCTTATCCCTTCTTCTTTATTGTGTTTGTTACTTTTTGTAACTCCTCTAATCTTAGTTTCTTATATGACCTCATTGTGTTGTAATTGCTATAAAACATTTACCCCCACCCCCCACCGAGGGGGCAGTGCTACTGACTGAAATGTCTTTAGGCCTTTCCCAAAGGGGGATATTAACATGTTCTTATGCACAGTAGAATTGTAAATGGGCTGATTTATCAATGTCATGCTCATACTGTGCCGGAACAACATAGGGGGAACTGCTGCTTTTTCTTTCCTCATCCTTACTCTATTGTCATTTTTTCCTCTACTTCTTTTGAATTTTTGTCACTCTCTTGTGAACTGCTATTTCCGGGGTGCCTTGATAGTTGAAGCAGACTTTGTGCTGTTGAGGCTAGAGAGGTGAGCAGAGTAAACCTGATTCCCAGTTTGGGCTTCTCTGTAAACATCCACCCCTTGGCGCTCATATGACCTTATGCTGTTGCGTGCACTGTAAAACCTTACTAAAAAATTTTTTTTAAACTCTCACTAAGCAAAGATTAAACAAAAGTAAGTGTTGTTGCAGGCATTTTTCCTGAATTGGTGATTCTTGTTTTGTTTTATTTTCCTAAATAAAAAAAAAATGTACTGCAGATGTTTTCTTGTCTGTTATGATATGTTCCTGCTTACATGGGGGTTTTTTTTATATCTAATGTTTTTGTGCATATTGCATTTTTTTTCCCCTTCAAGATTCGTTCCATTATGGATGGGAGCAAGAGGAGTGGAGTTTGACTGGAAGTACATTCAGATGAGTTTCGACTCAAATATCAGTCTTGTAAGTTTGATGTCTTTGTGTTTATTTTTTTTTTCATGGTTCACTGAGGTACCCGTGCTAACCGTAAAAAGACAACAGACTTAGGATGTTTTTATGTGTGCCAGGATCTGGACAATAAAGATGTATCTTATCCTATCTTATATATACAGTCAAAAATGCCCGAGACGGCCATCCATGCCATTGTCAAGGAGAAAAACGCTTCTCTTCGACAGGTGGATGTCTTGGACAGTTTCAGTATGATATATTCTTTAAAATGCAGGAGGTGAATTGGCAGTGGTCATTTGTACAGTTGATTGTCTTGGACAGGTGGCTGTTAGGGCAGGTTCGACTGTATATATCATCCCTGTTGTAAGAAATACGAGTGTCACTGATTTATTTTGCCTGGTCCTCTAAAGCATCGTCAAACTTAACACTATCGTTAATAGCTTGATGTATAGACATAGGTTAAAAATTGAAAATTATGACTAATGCCATTTTCCCCCCGTTCTTTTCAAATGGCATGCAACCTCAGGTTTTGCAGCCCTCGGTCCCCTTTGTCATATCGCAATGGTTCACATCTTTGTTAGTTGTTGTCCTGTTCCTGTGTAGGCTGTCCTTGTTGAGATTGTGATGAATGGAACGAATCATTTCTTAGGATCCCGGTAGTCATTAATCTTAGAGCAAGAATGTGCAACATTTTTCATTGGCGGGCCTCTTTCAGTCACCAAAGCAACTCAAGGGAACAAGGGTCTATCATGGTCAAAATTATGTAATCTAATTACAGCTAATGTATTGATATATAAATATAACATGAGAACGGCTAGTGAGGGCCAAACTGTCTGGTCTGGCATCTCGGGTCGTGGTTCGCTGGCCGCCTGTTGCTCACCCGTTGTTTAGAGCATTTAAAGAATGCTCCTTACCTTTGTGGTTCTTCTGGTAGTGAAGGTTATCTTCTGAGGTCCAGCCGTTTACATACTATTCTTTCTTTGGTGAGAGAGGTGTTAAACCCCTAGCATACTACGCGCTTTTGTAACATAGCCTACCATTCCATACCATACAATACCCTGCCA